GCCCAGTGCCACCACTCACTCACTGGTGTCACAATAGCTTGCATTTAAAACCAAAAAACTATTTTCACTGTTATAGATTGAATAGCAGTTAGTTGTCTGCCAGCGTCTGTGTCAGGCTCACAGTGGATACTGTGCCCAGTGCCACCACTCACTCACTGGTGTCACAATAGCGTGCATTTAAAAACCAAAAAACATTTTTTCACTGTTATAAATTGAATAGCAGTTAGTTGTCTGCCAGCGTCTGTGTCAGGCTCACAGTGGATACTGTGCCCAGTGCCACCACTCACTCACTGGTGTCACAATAGCGTGCATTTAAAACCAAAAAACTTTTTTCACTGTTATAGATTGAATAGCAGTTAGTTGTCTGCCAGCGTCTGTGTCAGGCCTACAGTGGATACTGTGCCCTGTGCCACCACTCACTCACTGGTGTCACAATAGCTTGCATTTAAAACCAAAAAACTTTTTTCACTGTTATAGATTGAATAGCAGTTAGTTGTCTGCCAGCGTCTGTGTCAGGCTCACAGTGGATACTGTGCCCAGTGCCACCACTCACTTACTGGTGTCGCAATAGCTTGCATTTAAACTTTTTTCACTGTTATAGATTGAATAGCAGTTAGTTGTCTCAAAGCGGGTGTGTCAGGCTCACAGTGGATACTGTGCCCAGTGCCACCACTCAATCACTGGTGTCACAATAGCTTGCATTTAAAAACAAAAAACTTTTTTCACTGTTATAGATTGAATAGCAGTTAGTTGTCTGCCACTGCTGCCAGCTTCTGTGCCAGGCTCACAGTGGATACTGTGCCCATTTGCCCAGTCAGTGCCACCACTCACTCACTGGTGTCACAATAGCTTGCATTTAAAAACAAAAAACTTTTTTCACTGTTATAGATTGAATAGCAGTTAGTTGTCTTCAAGCGGGTGTGTCAGGCCTACAACGTGTACTCTGCCAGTTCACAGTGCCACTCATATATGGTGTCACAATAGCTTGCATTTAAAAACAAAAAACTTTTTTCACTGTTATAGATTGAATAGCAGTTATTTGTCTTCAAGCGGGTGTGTCAGCCCTACAGCGTGTACTCTGCCAACCTCTGCCAGTTCACAGTGCCACTCATATCTGGTGTCACAGTAGCTTGCACGCATAGTACCACTAATCGAAAAAAAATTACAGGCAGAGGCAGGCCACCCCTACACTGCGCATTGGGTAAACCTGCTGATGACTGCCAAGCATGGAATGCGTGGCTCTGCAGAGGAGTTGGTGACACCGCCACGACTTGCAGGCAGGCCTGCTGCCACCTCCTCTACTCCTCCTACTCCATCCTCTTCCATAACCTCCTCGGCTGAGTCCTCTTCTGCTGCTGCGTCTTACTCCACATCAAAGGATAGGGGACGTAACAGGGATTAAACTGATAAGAATAGTACTACTTAACACACCACTCCTATCTGGTGGCACATTAGATTGCACGCGCAGTGCCCCAAATTTGAAGTAGGAGGACCGACCAAGCATCTTTTTCCATCTCCCGGTTCCTAAAATCGATGCCATATACACCTCCCCTGATAGGGGATGTAACAGGGATTAAACTGATAGGAATAATACTACTTAACACAACTTATAATAACGCAGAGGCAATGCAGAGAGAGGAGTCTGAAGAAGAGGAGTCAGAGGAGGAAGGTGGCTTTGAGGAGGTGGAAGACCAAACACAGCAGGCGTCCCAGGGGGCTTGTTGTCACCTTTCGGGGACCCTTGGTGTTGTACGTGGCTGGGTGGAGGAAGAGACCTTCAATGACATCAGTGAGGACAAGGAACGGGACATGGCTAGCTTGGTATCCAACCTTGTGCGGTTGTGCAAATGGACTGTTTGTGGTTGTTTGCGTTGCGTTAAATGGGGAGTTTGGTCTGTCACTGTGAAGCGGGTGTAACCCTTACACTACCTGATCGATACAATATCATACAGTAGGTCCCTCCCTCATTATTTTTATGGCCCCCACCCACCGCTCACGGGTGGGGGCAGGCGGGAGGACAGTAGGTCCCCCCCCATTGAGATTTATGGCCCCC